GACATGTATATATAATATACCTATATGAGCATGTATAATATTTAAGAAAATCTGATTGATTTTGAAATGTATCATATTTTTCTAAAATATGATATACTGTTTATATTAAAGAAGATTTTCTCTCCTTTATGAAAAAAAATGCCAATATGGAATAAGCTAGTTTATATTTTATTGGCCTTAAAAATTGTATATAAGCACCCAAACCTTACACCCAATTTATTTTGCTTGCCCATTACTTCTCTCTTGGCTGTCGTCACTAGCTACCTCCTCTTGCTTTGCTTGTTACTTTTCTTCAATGGCCTCTATCTTATTTTCTCTCTACTTTTTCCCCTGGATCCTTTTCGTCCCTTTTCCTTAACTGTACGCCTAACACAAGACACTCACGTACTCATACTTAGTCTCTTTTCTTCTAGTTATAATTTTTTTTATATATATTTAGCTCCAACACGTCTTGTCCTTTCCCCATTTGTGTACCATGTGAAGCACCTTTATACACACACACGCAGATATACACATGTCCCCACACGCATAATATTGCCCAGCAACCTTTCGGCCTTGTACACACGTTCCCACAATAATTACACACATAGAGACGCGTGTGCACACACACACACATCATATTATTCTATTTATTTTATTTTTATTTTTAGGTATAAATATATAAATAATCATATGAATATATATATATAATATTGGGTTTTTTTTTTGCATAGAACACAGTTTCAACCTCTTTATTTATTTCAAGTGTATAAAATTGCAATTAAATTTTAGCCTAAGAATTCGGTAAAATTAATTTATTGAGTTCATAAGAATTTTCCTCTCAAAAAGCCATAGGTTCTAGGGTAAAAATGAATAGCCAAACTGGTGACTTTAGGACTCAAAAATTTAGGATTAGCATTTTAGACTATGATAGAGTATAATGTATTTTTCATTATTCATAGATTCAATTACCGGTGGGACTCCCTCAATTCTGAAACCTAAGTCTGTTTTTGTGAGAGTAATTGCTAGGGTGCCAAGTATCTCTCTTTCTACCTGCCTCGCTTGTCGGTGAGATCTATGAGTTTTGAGAAATCTGACAATATTATCTTTAATTAGTCTCTAATATGTCAAATGACTGTTTTACAAAATTGTCTCGTGGGACTATTTGTTACTTGAAGGAAACTTTATGATAGAAATTGTTGTGTAATAGTATGATTGGAAAGATAGTCTATATATTGCTTATATGTATTGTTAGAATCCATGCTGTGTAATTGGTATATTGTGAGCAAATGTGTGATAAGGTTTGTGATTAGTTGCAAACAATATAAATGGTTAATGAGTTATATTAATTAATATTTTGGGAGGAGGTTTGAGATGGGAGTTATATTTTTGTGACCATGTGACGCGGCCACCATATGGCGCTCTATGACTAGCCCCTTCTAATGCTAGGGCAGTATCCCCTCAGCTTGTGACACTCCAGTGGTTTATACCTGGGCAACATCTCCTACTGGAGGAACCTATGGTCCCTTGGGTGCACGACCTGGCCATGGGTTCATTCAATGGGAATAAGGAGGAGATAAGGAGGAACAAGTATTATTTGATTAATGGAAAATAATATAAATTGTGTAATTACTTGATTAAGGAAATCCTATGTCGCTATTTGTTTTAACATGTAAATTGCTACTATTAGATGTTGTGTTTTCTCATTGATTTAAAACTATTAGTCCCACCTGGCACCTTATAGGTGGTGTTGGTAGGTGAGGTGAGTAGGAACTGAGTTACTGAGACCATTGTCTCATCCTATTGGTTCTTACTATTTTTTCAGGTGAGAGTAGCAGAGGAGGTGCAGTAGGAAAAGTTTCTGAGGTGTGAGACTACTTTTACGAGAAGTCATCCTCTGTTAGTAGTTATGTTTAAGTTTTAAGTTATTTGCCACCCAGGACATTTTTTACTCATTTGGTTTTATTTTTGGTTTCAGTAATGTTACTTTCATTGTTTTCATTTATGACCTTTGAGTTGGAACAATTGTTGGTTAGTAGGTCGGAGGCCCTAAGACTGTACTACATTTTGATAGCAAGTTTGCAAGACTTGGGTGTGGTTTCTAATAAGTGGATCTAATGGAGGTTATGGCTTGAGGTCCTTTTCTTTTATGATATCTGTATTGGTTGTGACATACTACATCTAACAGGAATGCATGAATTTTTATAACCCTGTTAGCTAGGTAGCATCCCTTTCTAACATGGTTAAGCTGATAACAAGTAATAGACGGAATGGTGATATCTTCATTCTGTGAGATTATATGATTCCACTTCAGTTATTGATACTCACTTTCCTTTATAACCATGATAGTCACTGTATGCAGGTCGTTTCCTTTTTCTATCATGGTTATCTTGATTTATAAGAAAAATTTTTGTTTCACTCTTTTATTACCATGGTAATAATGAATATGGATAGTGTTAACCTAAGTATTGTGTTTTTGGAATATGGATGTTTCACTACCATCTTTGGTATATATACTTATTGGTTTTAAGAATTAGAATATTTTCATGCAACGCATGGACATTACAGTTAATAGATGATGTCTCCCTTTTTTTGCCCCTTTTCTTTTTTTTTTCGCTTTTTTTTTTTGTCTTCTTTATGCCCTTAATGCTTTTGGTGCCCACAAACGTTTGATAAGGCCACCTTGGGAAACTAAACGAGAATCGTGTGTGCCGTATCATGGACGAACTTGTGAGACAAGATCCTTGGTGTTGGGAAAATGAAAAGGCGAAGGATATGAAGAATATTGTGAACATGAAGTTTTAACCCCTCATGGATATGATTACACAAGAAGGTAAACACCATTTTAAACACACACAAACACACACACACACATGTTTATAATAATCAAAGGATTTTTAATTCTTTGTAGATACTACTTCTCATTCTTAATACAAGAGCTAATTGGATATTGAATTTTGTTTTAAATATAAGATCTCAATCCACTTTGATTCTAAAATTTATAATACTTTTTTCTAAAATATCTTATTGTTTATAAGGGTTTTCCATCAAGAGTCAATTTTAATACATATGATTAAAGAGAGTAGTTTTGAAAAGTCAACACATATTTGTTGTACTTAACTAATTTTCTTAATATCTTTAAATTGGTTGTATATCTCTTGTATTAAGGACCGGAAGTAGTATATAATAGTAATATTAGCTTGATCAGTTATTGGCACATAGCAGGTAGAATCAAAAGACCAACTATACTGTTAATAGGAGCTCAAAATGGTCTGACAGGACAGGTGAAGAAGATCCTAGATGATATTTCTGTGTCTATCCATGACCAATTACTTGAGGAGAAGAAGAATATAGTACATGTGGCCATAGAGGAAAGGCAAAGCCATGTATTAGAGGAAGTAAAGAAATGCAAAGATTGGCTTTTACTAAGGGGAAAAGTTGGATGTTGATGGAAATAATGCATGCATTTGGTAGCCAAGCAATCAAAATATATAGCAAGGGGGATACGTGGATTTGTTATGCAAATGCAGTGGGAAGTCATGTGGTTTGAGGTATTTATATAATATGTAGTTCTTATTTCATCACTCCTTAAAATTCTAGCTCTTCCATCTTATAATCAATTCATGCATATTAGAAGAAGCAAAAATTTTCTCTTAGTTTTAGTTTTAACGTTCTAGAAAATTAATATTTTGCTTTGTACAATATTTTTTTCACTAATATTATTTTAAAATGTTCACAAAATTACTATCTAATCTAGTGAACCTAATAATATGTATAAAGCTAAAAACTGATAGAATATGTTTAGAGAAAATTAGAGTTGTTTTAGATATTAGTGGTTATTTTATTAGGAGCAATATTTTTATATTAATTAGGATTTAGCAGATTTTCATATTATTATCTTTTATGGATTTCTTTATATTGAACAAAAATTAGGTCAAATTATTACTTGTATTTATTAGGTCAAGTTCTTAGGTGTATTTACAAGTGCACATACACATTTTAACAACTAATAATAGTAAAGTAACAAGTGTCCATATTTCATATGTGAACTTATAAATACACACACATTTTACCAACTAACAATATCAAAATAACAACTATATCTATTTGAAAAATGACTAATTCTAATTTGCATTATAAGAGATTATACAAAAGTTACAAGTATTTATAGGTGAATTTACAAGTGCAAATATGTATTTTAATAACTAACAATAACTAAATAGTAAGAGTGCTTGGAGAAATTGACCTGAAAGATATAAGCAACTTGAGTTAAATTTTATCTTTTTAGATTTTATTTATTTTTAAATTAACACATCTAGGGTTTTATAAATAACTTGAAGGTCCTCTTAATCTTGTTAACTAGTTTAATAAAAGTTGAGCATTGTTTCTGCCTCTTGGCCCTTTCTCTCTCACTATCCTTCTTCTTCTTTCCAGAGAAAAATAGGTTCAACTTTTACTCAATCAACAAATTCTCTTACAATAAAAAAACCCTAAGGCTAATTATAAAACCCTAGCCGGATAATAGATATAAGATAATAATCCAAAACCCTAATCTTAAGATAGAAGAGGAAGATTTACACTAGAGAATACAAAGTGTGATAAATAATAGGTTTATAATGTCCTTTAGGACATTGCAATGTTGATATTTGCATTCTTTCATGGCGGCTTGTTACAAGATTAATTGTATTATTCATAATTTATATAATGAATCTGATCATCTTTAGTTTAGACTGCCATATCCATATTTAACAAAGTTTTGCTAGCATCCTTATCATATAACTACTTTCTCCTTCATTTACTGGAACATACATCTTTGATTGAGATTTGTGCATTACTTCTGAAATTTATTATTTTATGTTGAAACAGTATGTGAAAGAAAATATGCCATCTTACTTCATTTCCCAATCCAATAAAAAGGGTGAGACTCCAAGGGAGATCTTCACCAATGAACACATGAAGCTCATTAATGAATGCAACGACTCAGTGAAGGACACGTCCACATCTTACATTGTGGCAACCACCTTTGTTACTGGTTCTAGCTTTTCTGCATACTTTCAGGACATTGATAGATTTAGCCATACATTTTCTATCTCTTAATTTCCTTTCTCTTCTTCATGTCTTCATTAGCCACTTTCTAGCCATTTATCTCTCTAGAAAGGTACAACCCAAAGGTTTTCGTCAAAGTTTGCCATTAAAGCTTTGTTTGGGAATTTTTTCATTCCCGGAATCACTCATCTCAATGTTGGTTTCTTTCTATGCTACACTATCCCATGACTTTGAACCTAAAGAGAAGTATAAGCCTATCATATCCTATGGGATCATTCTATTACTAGTATCTTTGGTGTACGTATTTGCTCATTTACAAAGGTACCAAATCTAATAATTGTGGAAGAAGATAACATATCACTTTTCTGCCAAGACTTGAGGATTGAACAATAGGATCATAACTGGCCTAATATATGAGATGGTGAAAGAGCAAACAGAAGTACTTAAGCCTTCTCGAAGTACAATATTGTACGGGAACTCTATCTATTTGTCCATCATTAAAAAAGTAAGTAGATTTGAGGAAGAAGAATATGTGTGTGTGTGTCTATGCTTTGGGGAGCTTATCAATATTAGTGTAGTTTTTCTTCCTAAATGTGTGGAAGAAGTACCAAGAGTGTGTAATGTTCTTATTTGTATCCTATATGTTACTCTTAATTGTTGGGATTTTGACTTACTTGATGCTGTAATATTGCTATACATTTGAAGGAGTTATGAATTATTTTGCATTATGCTATTAAAGAGAATTACTACCTCTAGTCATACTTATAAGATCTCGTTCATAGACTATAAACGAGGTCTTATAATTAAGACCGGAGGTAGTAATTGATAGCTCAACAGCTTTAAAAAGTTATGAGGAGCCAAGAGTTCTTGGGTTTAAATTTTATCTTTCCCACTGTTTCAAACAATTTGTCATCCGTCAGTCGATATTTTCTCTAACTTAGGCATGAGTTGCTACAGAGTTCGCTCATAGTGGCTTCAACATCAACTTAAAAAACATGCATAGTGAACGAGTGGAATTTTTCACTAAGTAAGGGGCATTTCTATAAATGGACATCAAAGCTAATTTTCAGTTATAGGCCTGGGAGTTGGGACTATGATGAAGTTTCATAATTTTTATTGAGACGAAACTATGAAAAGCTTTTTTCCTTTTAAAAATTCATAGTTAATTATAGAAAATATGTATGAGGGTGTTCTAAAATATTTTTGAAAGCTTATTAGGTCCTTTACATGACAAAAAAAATAATTATAGTCTTAAACCATGCCAATCAATATAGTTTATTACTTGTCTCAACTTGCTCTATTTTTCAAACAAAAATCAGGCATCAACATCAAAACCTCATAACTCAAGCTACAATCTCTAATTAACCTGATTGACTTAAGACTTGTTGAAAAGATCTATATGTCTACTTTTTTACATACCAATTCTCATGAGCATAGGACGTTGTTTACTGCACATTAAACATTGAAATCACTATGCTCTATAAAGAGCCTAAACTGGGCAGTCATGAACGCATAGGCTAATTTCATGGTTTCAAGGCTATTCTCTGACTCGCCATTGATTACTATCCATCTTAGCACATTAGTTAAATACTCTAAGGTCACATCATGAATTTATACAATTCATAGGATTATTTATACATTTTTCAACTTCTAACAAAATAATGATACAGGAAGTTTATTCCTTTTCAACTTACCCTTGCACGTTGCCTTTTCTTTTTCTTTAGAGGCACATAACCTAGCGTGGTTATTCATTAGAGAGAGGTAAGCTTTGGAGAAATCTCAGTAATAAACATTCTTGGTGGATGGTATCATTTTTCACATTTAATTATGGTAACTTCTCTTCCTCTTTCTTCTTGGTGGATGGTATCATTTTGGGCTTTATTGGCTCTCAATTTAATTGGGCTATAGGCACCTAATAAACTTTGGGATATTTTTCACTTTAATTCCTCTTTTAGGCCTTAAATATCACTAAAAGGCCTCTTACTATTTTTTTCCTGAATTTTCTTGATTTTTTTTTAATTTTTTGAATAAAAGTTTCATAATTATACTTAAAATTTGAAACTTTTAGAAATTACACTTTTGATTATGGCACAACTTGACATCCATGAAATCCTCTTCAATGTATCTTGAAGGTTTTGAAATATTTTCTAAACCATTTCAAGGATAAAATATTTTCTAGATCACTTTCTACTTTTAGGCACTCTTATATAATTTCCTAGTATTTATTTACACTCAATACCCCTAATAAATTTCAGTAATTATGATTTCGTTCCTATATACTTTTCATCTTCTTCTCTAACTTGGATCTTTCTTCCTTTACATTTAAGTCCCAATTCTCTTTCACCTTTGGGACTTTCTCAGCATACTCCCAGAAAAACTTTTAATTTGTGATTTAGTCACTAAAATTCATTTCATCTTGGAAAAATGGAAAAAAGACCCCTGAATATATGAAATGGTGAAATGGGTTCTTGAATTAACTTAATTATCTCTGGAGACTGGGTCTTAAATTGAAATTATGAAATGTTAAAGAAAAGACCAAAATGTCCTTCTTCTTCTCATATCATCTTCCTTCTGAAATTTAATGTCTGTATGCTTCCATCACTTCCTTTGTTTCTCATTTTGGTCTTATGGCTAAGGATACACCACAACTGCCATTGTCTCCTCCTCCCCCTCTGATCACATCCATCTCAGAAAGACAAAAGCATCACTGGCGTATCGCAGAAAGTTTTGATTCTAGTGGTGATTTGGACGTTGGTAGACGAGCAAGGAAAGAAGGCTAAAAAGAAGAAGCACAAAAGAAATGTTTCTTCAAGAGGGAAGATTAATATGGAGAGGATGACTCATAGAGAGTTATTATTTTTTCTCTACATCTTGATTCATCCTTCCTCTATTTCTTCTTCGACCTTCTGTTCCTATATTATGTGGGTTTTGGATTTGATAATCTTACTATGGCATGTCAATTTAATATCTAGGGTACTCATGACTTTGCCATAGAACAAATGACAGTAAGAAAGAAAGCCTTTTCAATAATAGAGGAAGTTTTTTAGACGCATGGCACCACAACTTTGGTTATTATATGTTGAGTCGATACTAGTATTGTAACTCCCCTTCTCACATCTAATGATAAGAATGAAAACTTTTGCCCTTAGACTGATGATTTGTTACTAGATCAAAATATTGCCAATAGGTGTGTCAAGTTTGAACAAGTTGAGATGTTTATGTCACATCCTGAATTTCGGATCTAGAAGTACCAAAATTAGCATGAAATAGGTAGGCTACTAGACCTTTTTTGGCAGAGGTCTCACAGATTTCGTAGAAGAACAACAGGATTTCTAGGGACTAAATTGCAAAGGAAAAGTTTTCTGGGATTGAAAAAAGAGGAAGTTAGAGACCTAGAAGAAGTCTCGAGGCCTAGGAATGGGAAATAGAGATAAATGTAGGCCAAAGGTTATGCTGGAGGCCTCAATGAAGTGAATTTTGATGTTAAGCCAAATCAAGGGAAAAATCATAATTTTGTAAAGTTTTGGGTTGATAAGGGCATAAATGGAAATTATGCCCGAAAATCCTAGAAAAATCCCAGAAAATGGGAAATGGTAGGTTAAGGCCTGAACACTTCAAAATTTTTTTAGAAAAATAGGAATAGGGTTCAGAGGCCCGTGTGAGACTAATAATGACGAAAATGCTCCTGGAAGGAATTTGTGGAATTCCCAAAGTTTTGACTGATTTTGAATATTATTAAAATGAATTATTTAAAGTATAGGAAGGCCTCAGATAATTGGAAGAAAATAGGAGGAAATACTTGAGGAATTATCACAGGTTTTAAAAATAATTCCATCCTCAGAAAGCAAAGAGGTTGGCTTTAATGAAATTTAAAGCCTATTTACATACTATCTAGGAAAAGTCAAAGTCAAATGTCTAGAAGTTGACTTTTGACTTAAGAAAAATTAGAGAAATTTCTCGTGATGAATAAATAGTATTGGTACCTAGAAATAGATTCTCGGAGTTGTAGACAGGTAGAAAGAATTTGGTCAAGTTCACTTCGAAATAAATATTATTAATTATTTTAATGGAAGAATAAAGGAAGAGCATCACTCCCTCTTTGGACATGTTATATAATGCCATGTGAATTTATTTGAAGTGAGAAAATGGTGCTAGAACATGTCCTAGTGGTCCCCGAGTAAGTCAGTGGCCGAAAAAGTACCTTATATGGTGTAGAATGGCAAGATAGGTGGAGGAATACCTGAGGGTCGTATTTTGCATGGATTTTATATTAATTTTCTCTCTATTTTAATACCAAAATGATGTAGGAATATGGAGGAGACAAGTGTACGGTTAGATGGGAAAAGAAAGTATTATGTGTATGGCTGGATGTAAGACACATGTACAGTCAGATGCAAGACATGTGTACAGTTGGATAAAAAGCATTTGAATTGATGATGTAAGCATTATGTCATCATGATGAGGTAAGCATGATGTCATAAGACACTTGTCACCATAAGATTAAAAGAGAAAATTGACGATCCAGATCAAGCCACACATTTTTAAGATCAACAGCGCAGATTCAGTCTTGCTTTCTATAAATACCCCCTCCCCTCCCACATTTTCTTCCAACCTAGAGAAAACCTTGGGGAAGCTCTGGGAAAATGGTTTTTAGAGAGAGAAAGAAGAGGGAGAAAGAAAGGCCAAGTGGTCCCATGCAAGATCAAGCTCTAAAACAAAGTATGTTTATGGTTTTTTATGTAATTTTCACCACCCTTATTGTTATTGAACTTGGTTATGGATTTTAATAATATTTGGGAGCTTAAAACCCTAGGGGGTTATGCTGCACAAAATTCTTAAGAGTAGGAAAGATGAAATTGATGTTAGAATAATGTTCAAAGGCTTGAAAGGAACAGAAATCAAGTGGTTTTATGCTGAAGTTGGTTGAATTTCATGATTGTGTAACTGATAAGTCTCATTATTTGCATACATTTCTAACCCTAAACTCATGCTTTTGCCATCTATATTTGCATACTTTGGGCTTAATTAGCTTCCATTGTGTATAAGAGTTGGTAAGAGGAATTGTGAGGTTTTGCAGGTGTTTTTACATGTTTTTATATGATTTTATATGTGTGTACTTTTGATCCCTGCTTTGGTGAGAATTTCAGGAAGTTTCAGTTCTGTTTGAGGCGCCACGGCGGATTTGGGAAGGCGCCACGGTGGATTTCCAAGGGGATTCTCGGTAAAAAGCGCCGCGGCGGATGGACAGAGGCGCCACGGCAGATTGGTATTTACATGAAACTCAAGATCACTAATCAAAATGGCACCGTACAGGCCAGGCGTCGCGGCGGATGACGAAAAATTCCAGATTTAAATGCAGAGTCGTGCGCTTTAAACCAGATAGCAGATTCCAGTTTCTCATTCATCTCCAGACACGATTTTCTTGTTCTCTCCGCCTTCTCTTAATTCCTTCTTCCATTTTCGTCCAAATTCATCAATTTCCACCGATCAACCATGAATCTTTTAGAGTATGAGTAGCTGAATTTCCAAGTTTTCCTAGCAATGAAGATGACCTGAGTTCATAGAGCTGAACAGGGAGTCGTTTCAGATCTATTTTCCACTTTCTATTCTAAGGTTCATTTGTTTCAGTTGAACAATTGTGGTTAGAATGAAGGTTGGATGGTTAGATTTATGTTTCTTGGAATTTAGATCTGATTGAACATTCAAATGTGAGTTGTGTCCTTTAATTCAGTTGAATAGAGGATTCTCTGTTGATGTGTAAATCTAATTTGTTTTTACTTGGACTGTTGTTCTGTAAATCTGAATTTTGGTTGAATAAATTGATGATTCACAGTTGTGATCATTCTTAGAGAATTGCAACTCGCTTCTCAAGTGTTCTTGTCAATTGATTTTCCTTCTCACAGACCAAAACAATGAATCTAGTAAGATAGTTGTTTCTGATCTGTGTTAAGAGAGATTTGAGCAGTAGCTGAATCTATCTATTTAATTGACATTAAGAGACTCCAAATTATAAGATTGAACAAGGAAGGTTGGATAAATTGCTAGGGGAACTACAATCTCTTATCTGAATCTTCTTTGGCATTTTACCTTTCATTAGATTTGTTTCTTGTTTCAATTTCTGTTTTCTGAAACTCGAGCTTTCATCTTGGTAATTTGATAATTAAAAGTGAATTGTCAAGAATTGAAATACAACTTAAGGCTCCTTGAGAAGAATGACTTAGGTAGTGCCTCACTTGCTGCATTTCCCTAGTAAAACTTTGATTACCTAGCGACAAGGTTTATCAGTAACTTGAGAAAATGTTTCAGTCAAACCTAGTTCTTGTGCCTAGGATGTGATTTTGATGATTTTGATGCTTCCAATGTGTTTAAAATGAAAAATTTTGTAGGGATAAGATGAAAGAATGAAGTTGGAAGCATTGGTTTCAAAACTAGAAATTAAGTGGCAAATTCCGGTTTTGGCCTAGGACCAAGGGAAGGTGCTGGATTTTGATGGATCTAAGCTTATACTTGGATTCCTTGGGTAAATTTGTGCAGGATTGGCCTAAGAGAACAATTTTTACAATGCTAGAACATTACATTATAAATTAAGGAAAAAGAGATTAAGTTTAAGGACACAAGTCTTTCATGTTGTGTAATTCTTGGTCCTAATGAGTAATGTGACCCTTGTGGCTGTGATTAGGACCTTGATGCATCCAAGAGAAGGTTTGGATGTGGTTGAACAAGCAACCTTAATGGTTGGAAGCAAAAGGGAGCAAGTTGAAGAGCAAGAGAAAACTTATGATACAAGGTAGCGAACTTACCTTTCTTATGTGCTTGATGTGTATGTGTGTATATGCTATGAATGCCATGATGTGACTAAGTTATGCTGCTGAATTATGATTGCTATGTTTAGTTAAGCATGCCTTGGCATTATGTTATGTGAATATGAATGAATTGGCTTACTTTTCATGGCATTTCACCATGCATAAATGATAAAGTTATGTGCACAGAAGCATGTCATACACTTGCATCTATCTTGCATGCATAAATGGCAATGTTTGCTACTTATTTCTCCTAAATCTCACCCTCCCTTAACTAACCATAATAGGTGATATGATCAAGCGAACGATACATGACAGGGAAGCAAGGAAAGAAGAAAAGATTTGAGGAAATTTGTTGTATTCGTTGTACACTGTATATACCAATGTATGTTGTAAATGTGCCATTGATGGTATGTGATGATAAATGATGATGTTGGCTTGTGTAATTAGC